CTTCAAGTCCTGTGCAAAAACGCATGATCGCACGGGCCCGCCCAGTGCGTTCCAGCCTGGGTTATAAGTACAAAACAGTAGTGATGCATTCGCCGCCCCCCCACTGCATCACTTACATCAAGGATGAACTTGGACTTACATGCAAATGCAGTTCCGCGGAAGAATTATCCATCTTACACTTTTCGATCACGTCACTGCATGATGACAACAATTTCGGGAATTTACTGCAAAAATAAAAAATTTAGCAGAGAGCACTATGAACGCACTATGCAAACTGAATAACAGAACTGAAAAGGCGAAAAAACCAAAAACGAATGGTTCGAAATTTATTAAAGTACTGAATTTAACTATGCTTAGACACGCATGCGTGACAGAGGGACCCTTAGCAATATGTCCGTAGAGAGACTGAACGACAAGGCATAATGCCACTGAATTATAAATGCATGGGTAAAACCAATAAGTCTGGCTGTGTATGTATGATATGTGTCTCATCGCAAAGATACAGTTCATGTATCATACTCAACTGTGTGTCGCCGTTCAACCATACAATAATCTAGCACATCGAAATCTTAGATACAAGCAAACACTTGCTCAAGTTATAAAAACTCACTGTTAAGTGAAATCTCAAAAAGATGCCATTCTATCCCGAAGGCAGTTTAAATGAGACACAAAAGAATCATGATTTTTCAGATACTTTTTTATCAGCCCCGCTAAATTACGCCAAGACAGAAGACCCAAAAGAAAGCATCACATTTACTTAACACATTACATTAAAGAGAACAACTAAGTCCCTCTAAGTACAATTAAGTTGTAACTAGACTCAAAGAAGCAAGAGAAGGTGAAAGTCCAAAACAGATATGAAAGACAAGCACACATGGATTATAACAAAAACAACGATCGAACTGTCCAATCGATTTAGCCAAACGATGCTGCCAACGATTAACCGGCCGCTACGTTGCAATGAAGAATTTCACTGAGCCGTGCAATAAAGAACTTACAAGTTTTCCAGATTCATTACCATCCGGGCCAAAAAAATGGATCGCGCACAGTATTCGAAAGGTACACCGAATAGAGACGCCCAATCGACCATGAACATCGATCGGTTCGCATATATTGCCTTTGTGATTCCTCGCGCTTTCTCGTAATGAAACAAATAGTTCGTAATCAACTGCAATGCGACAAGTCTTCATAAAAATGATATAAAATGTGCGTCTGTATGTTCGCCTGAGCTGATTTTTCTTCTCGAGACCTACAAAAACTACAAGGCTCGAAGTCTGGGAAATTAATCTACATGCATGTACGAGTGTCTATCCACACCCAGGATCGGTGCGATTATGCGTCTTTGCACTTTTAGTGCCGTAGCAAGGTCGCAAGGAATCATAGCAGCTAATCCTGTGATATACTGGCCCTCGAAGTTTGGGAAGTTAATTGTGCAGCTATGTCATATGTCAGTTGTAGATGTCGACTTCAGTGACCCGACAATGGAAAGTTGCTGGTCCGCGAAAAAGGCCGTACTAGAACAGCTGAATCTGGCATTCCCTTAAAATTAAAGCCTCCAGCTTTCCCCGCTCCCGGGTTAGCAGCTCTCCTACCATTATTTTCACGTGTCCGTACATGAGTACCAGATGATTTAAAGCAGCTGAATATGAAATCTTTTGGTCATACATGAGTAGGGGACATTACCCTAAAGTTTCAGCTTTCAAGCTTTTCCCATTCCGGGTTAATGATTTTCGTGCCAAAACTTCCACTCGCTCGTACGTGGGCCCGGGCGCCTCTAAACACCTGATTTTGCACGCACATGAGAAGGGAACATTCTCCTAAATTTTCAGCTTTCTAGCTTTTTTCACTCCCGGGTTAGTAAACTCCGCGCCAAAATTTCCATACGCCCGTACGTGGGCCCCAGCGCTTCTAAATACCTGATTTTGGTCGTGCATGAGTAGGAAACATTAACCTAAAGTTTCAGCCATCTAGTTTTTCCCGTTC